AGGACACCCGGGCTCTGGGATGCCGGGCGGCGCCCCGCGAGCAGAAATCCGCGATCCTGGCGTCGCCCGGGCCCTCGAGGCAGGTCTCTGGACAGTCCCAGAGGGCCGCCTCTCGCAGCGCCCCGGAACGAGACGGGCGCCCAGGACGCCGGATTTAAAATGAGCCACCTCCCCCCACGGCGGACAGGGAGATCGAGAGTCCGGCGCCTCTGCTTCGGGTGCCGCTTCGACAGCAGACGCTTCCACTTCGAGCGTTCCGCCAGCCTGCGCTCCAGGCTCGCGCTGACCGGCTCCGCCAGTCAGCGCCGACTGGCGGAGCTACTGTCCCCCGGTCGGCCCATTCGTCCGACGCAAGAAACTAGACGTTTTAGGCGTCTGGGCCGGGGGGGCATGAGGGCTCCGCGCGCCCTGGGGGGGGGGGGGGCTATTTGCATTTCCCGGAGGGAAGGGTAGGGCAGCAAGTTCAGGAGTTCGAGCCCAGCTCTGCTGACTTTCCCCAGCAGCCCCGAGGAAGACGCGGATCTCCCTTCTCAACTGGACCAGGGGCATCGCCCCAAAGGGTGGGGCGGATTTAGCGAGAACTACGCTAGTGGAAGTTCCGACGTGGAGGTTGTTCCGCATTCCGACGGCTCTTGTCCCCGTCTTTTTGTGACTGAGAGAGTTGCCGAAGTGCAGCGCAAACGCCCCCCCCCCCCCCCCCCTCCGAAAAACGGGCCCCGTTTGTTGCTTTCGACGCCGCCGAGCGGGGGGCCAATGCCGATGGGCACCAGGGCGGCTGCTGTTCACCCCCCCAAAGAGGCCAACGAGCTCTGGAGATTGCTCCATAACCGGATCGTTTCTAGCAGAATGGTGCGCAGGTGGAAACCTCAGGGACTTTCTCGAGATATAGAGCCACATCTAAGTGGTGTGTCCGGGGCCATCGGGGCGAATATGCGACGGAGCTCCAGGTTCATGCCCCCGCTCCATGCATGGAGGCTCTCGTGCTCTCCCTCGTGACCTCTCCCATGTATAAACTCGCCATTTACATCCGGGACATCAGAAACGCGTTTTGCCAGTGGGAATTGCTCGAAAGCTCCCGAGGCCGAGTGTTTTCGGGGCCGCATGCAGGAGCCCCGGCTCCACCGGTTTCGTTGATCAAGCTTATCGCGCCAGCGCGTCGCTTGGGCGACGGCCCGCTGGCTTTCCGCAGGGCCACGGCCCACGAGGGTTTGAGCGCGCGCGCCTGGAGCCACGCTGGTTCGTCGAGAGATTCCGAGGAGAGCTGCGGGCGTAAGTGCCTGTAGAAGTCGAGGAATGGGCCATCGCGTTGCGGGAGGGAAAAGAGAAGGACTATTTCGATCACTTTCAGGGCTGGCTTACTTCGGTAAGATGGAACTTTTGGATTCCTCGGGGGTTCAGTCCCACGGGGACTCAGCCCCACGGGGGGCATAATTTTCGTCGACCAAGAAATATACATATTCGAGCAATTCCCAAAGTTTCCTCTTCCCCGAGGGCGTTGTGGGAACCGCGCCGCACTGCTGGTCGGCGGGGGGGGGTCGCCGCTTTTCATTCGCTGGTCTACAAACTCCAGTGAGTGGGTCGGGAAACACGAGCGGAGGCCGCTGGCGCGGCCTCGGCTTTGGCTACCAGGGTCAACGGGCCCGCGGTGAAAGACCGTCGTGATGTAATAAAATGGTCGACCACTTGAGGTCCGCTGCCTCGGCTCCGTTTATTTTCTGGAGGTTTAGGCCAGACGGTTGGCCACCGCCAGCGATTGCGGGGGCGCGGGGGCCGAAGACAAAGGAGGGGCCGGGGGCCCCAGGAAGCCCGGCAGGTCTATGTGGCCGATAAATCTCTGGCCCACGGAGCGAAGGCCAGGGGCCGCCCCATCTGGCGTGGGGGCCCGGCAAGCTCTGGCGCTCAGTGGCCCCCGCTCGCTGGGGAGACCCTAGCTCTGTCGAGTGTGATTCTCCTGCTAGACGTCGCCGAGGGAAACGTGGTGAACGAACGCTGGCCAGACAATGAAGGCCCTTTTCGTCGCCCTGCTGAAGGGCCAGCGCGAAGCGTTAGATTATCCGCAGTTGGCTGACAAAGCGAGCGTTGTCAACGCGAAGGGGATTTACGACGCTCCATCCAAGCTGGCCTCAGGTAGCAAGTCCGATCGCCGGGCGGCCATAGATTTGACCGTAATCAGAGGCACCATGGATCGCCGCGGATCGGCTATTTGGATGCCCCGCCCCCTCACGCTAGTCGATTGCCCCGCCAAGTCGGATATGGCTAAGACGGATGCGGCCCAGCTGCGTCTGTTAAACTCAGGAATGCTGCGGCTCACAGTGGAAGATCAGTCGCTTCAAAATCGCGTAGAGGGCCCAGCTGCTCGGAGCCGATCTCGAGCCGCGTCGAAGAGTCAGCTAGACCAGACTTGTTTCGCTATCATTTCCCTTTCCTCCTTCGACCCAGCCGAGGGCTGTGTCGCGTCACTGTACATATGATTCCTCTTTTCCATGCTCAGAAGATATGTGCATGCTCATTGCGAGAACACGATTGGCCCGAGCGGCCACCGAGTGGTCAGAATAGCAAGACACCAGCCGCGGGCTTCCCGAGCCCACTCCCGCGATATGTCGCGAGTTTTACGGGCAAGGCGCACGGCGTTTTAATTGTTCTGTTTGGCCAGGAGCATTTAGTCTCCGCCAAGAGGTAGCGAGAGGGCAAGACCCTCCTCTCCCGTGTCAAAGCCTTTATTTTCCGTGGCACCATGGGAATGAGCGCCTACGGCTCATTAGTCTGGCGAGGGGCCCAGCCCTCGCCGTTCCCCCTTTGGATTGGAACGGTATAGAGAGAAGACGGGTCCCCTCCGTTACCTTAGGCTCAAGCCCACTTCTCTTTTTTACCCAGTTGCTGACATCCCGAGTTACTCACCCGTCCTTTCAGATCCCGATCCCTCACGCCCATTCCCTGTACCCTTTCCGCGTTTATTGTCTGCGAGTGGACGGACTGCGGTGCCATCGGAGATCGCTTTGGGGAGCCTGGTGCGAGCAGAAAATAGTGGAGGACATTACGTTATCATCCGACAGCGTCCGTGGGGGAACACGAAGATGATCGCTCATCGCGAATTGCGATACGCGAAGTTGGGCGACTCCGAGTGAAGGAAGGGGACGAAGTGTGGGCCTTTCGGAGCCAGGGTGCAGATGACGCGGCGTCGCCCCCTCCGCCCCGCATGGGGCCCGGCTAGACCAGCCGCCAAAATGATTAGGTCCATCGAGCAGTTGTCAGTCAAGTCCAAGCGCATTCTTTGGGACGGAGGTTTTGATGAATCCCGAAGAAGCAATGCCGTCAGCAACGAGACCCCGACTTCCCTCCACGAGCGGGGTTTCGGAGGGGGGAGGGGGCGTCCTCCCTCGCTCCCTCCCTCCATCCTGTTCCCCTGAGATCCTGGCGTGCCAGTTTTTCCACAAAGGGCTTTTTCGCCCGGTCTCGAGCCCTAGGACCATCACGGATCGATCCGGCACGGAACATGCATCATGATGATATTGTCGAGGGCTTTGGTCGTGTGTTGATTTTGATGTTGTTGCTTTGTTCGCAACGCTGGATTTTAGGGTACAGCCAAGGCGATGAAGGAATATCATTTTGGTCTCAGGAAGGGCCCTGTTCTTTCGGGCAGTTCCTTCCATCTTTGTTGGGATCTATCCGTGGCCAAAGCTTGGCCGAGGCTCGCCGTGGCCAGGAAAGCCACTTTGTTTGGATGCTCGTTTTGGGGACCTTCCTGGGGCTCGATCTTCTCGTCTCCAGATCGACTCCGGATCGACTCAGGTTCGACTCAGATTTGATTCAGGTTCGACTCAGGTCCGACTCGAGTTCGATTTTTTTCGATGGACGTTCGACGCAGCTTCGACGCACGAGTGGAGCGAGTGGCTCCACGAAGGTCCCCAGCATCAGTAACGGCCTCTCTTCCTGCATGGCAGCACGAATGCTGTAGGCGGCAGAGGTGGAGGTGGAGGAGCTGGAGTGGAGGGGGCTCTGCACCTGGGGCAGGAGGAGCCGTCCGGCGCCGCCGCCGCCCCCCACGGTCGCTTCCGGTTTCGCCAACGCCTTCATGGCCGTCGCCTGGCCCGCCCAGAGTCGGCGACTACAAAGGGTATGGATGGTTACGCGGGTGTGGTTCGTTAGCGATCGGTACCGTTGAGGGCGGCCTGCAGAGCCTCTGAGCACGACAGTGTCCTCGTCGGGGCTTCTCGCGGCGCGGCGGAGAGTTTGTCGAAGTCTTCGCCCGCCCCCCAAGGGAGCACCCTCCTGGTTGCTTTTGCAAGCCATGCGTTTGGTGAAAAACACCCTTCAAAGTCGGCGACAAAGCCACTGCCTTTCTGTTGGGATCTGCACCCCCTCGCGAACCGTTCCCCTGCGGGTTCAACCGACCGACGCTGGGGCTCACCTGGCTGCAGGCATCCCCGAAAATATGTTTTCCAGACTCATTCTCAGAACTCTGGCCAACAGGGATAGGGCTCACGCGCGAACGATGGGAGCAAACGGGGTCGAGTTTGACTGCGTCGACATGCGCGGGCAAGTTGCCCGCGTGGGATGGCGCGTAAGCGCTCTTGCTTCCAATGTGGCATGCCACGCTGGCGGCCCGCAAAAACCACGGCGTTAGGTCGTCATGTCATCCTGCGCAAGACTCGTTCCTTTCCCTTGCTCGCTTGGTTGTAGACATCCTTCAAGATCTAGGCCCCAGCCGGCCGTTCAGAATTCTCACCACGTGGTGGCCTGTGCCTGCTCCCAGATGGGGTCCGAGTAAATGCGTTCGGAGGAAAGCGCCGCTTTGCCGATGCAATGCCAATGGGGCTCGATGCGGAGCATGAGTTACTCCGCGCCGGCGTCGCCGATGCGCTGCCGACGTCGCCGATGCCACACCGATGCATCGCTGATGCATCGGCGACGCATCGCTGATGTAGCGGCGATGCATCGGCGATGCGGCGCGATCCTCTCGCGGCATCTGCTCGGACCCCTTTGGGAGGCCTCCGCTGCAGGAGTCCCCCTGCGACGCCCTGTCGGCCGACTGGGCCGCCTTCCTGGAGAGCGGCACCGGCGCCGACATCACCCTCCGTTTCGACGGCGGCGACCCGGCGCGCGGCAAAAGCGCCTCTGCTCGTCCGCTGCCGCCGCCGCCGCCGCTGCCGGCGCCGCCGCCCGCGGCGCAGCGCGCGGCGCGGGCAGCGCGGTGCGGTCGGCGCTCTCGCCGCCGCCGCCGCTGCCGCTGCTGCCGCCGCCGTCGTCGTCGCGCTGTTCTCCTTCGGATTCGTGGCTCCCTCGCTTGGTCGGCGCCGTCGTTCGATCCGCTTGGTCCTCCACTCCTGCCTCTGCCTCTCCTCCCCTCCTCCTTCATCCAGCACCCTTGCAGCGGAGTTATGGTTCGGTGTTGAATCCAACTGCTTCACCCTCCCCGTGGGGCGAAGACATGTGTCGAAGCTATTCCCGCATAGGGATTCAACGCTGCGCTTTTTTATGCGACATCGGTGTCGGTCAAAAGTTCCCCGTGAACATGAAAAAGAACCCACATTTCAGAAAACCGGAGTAACACAAACCACCCGTGACCCCCCTACGACCCCCTCCCTCGTTTGGTCGGCGGAGCCGTTCGTCCCGCTGGTCTTCCACTCCTTCCTGCTACTCTTTTTCCCTCCCCTTCCTCCTCCCCCTCCTCCTCCCTTCTCCCTCTCCTGGGGCGCCCCTTCCATTGCGCAGCGGCTACAAGCCGCCAGATGGGCACAGAGGCTCAGTTAGAGCGTAGACCATTCAATCCAGGCAGCGCTGGAATGACCCAAATCACGAAGCGCGTGTGCAGGGGCTGCCTGCCATTCTTCAGCAGCGTGCCGGTCCAAGGGCCATTGTAAGCAGAGGTTTCAGACGGAATAGCCTCTGTTGGTCTGTTGGTGTGCGTCATTCATGCCTCGCCCCTCGTTCGTGTTTGTGGCTGTGCTTGTCGCGCATGCCTCGTGTCCGGAGTTCGTTCATGTTCGTGTTCGTCTGTGTTTGTCTTCGTGTTCGTCGGTCGTGCCCCATCCCTCGTTCGTGTCCGTTGTTCGCTCGTGTTCGTCGTCCTACCTCAGTCCTGATCCAGCCCATCTTTTCTCCGCCTCCCGCCGCGCTGGTCGCAGCAGGCGAGCGGATGGTGCACAAGGCCGTGCTGCTGGCGAGGAGCGAGGCGCCTGGGGGCGGCGCCACAACCCGTGCAGAGCGCGCGTCGTGACGAGCACGCCGCTTCCTTCATTCTTAGCGCCACTCCCTGAAACCCTTGCGTTGGATTTGTTTCGCAACGTGTGTTTTCGCCCCGTTTCTGGCCCCAGGACCCTCACATATCGATCTGGCTCGAAACATGACGCAGAAAGACGGGGCTCGGGGCTTCGGTTGTGATGTTTGACACGTTCTTCGCAACGTCGGATATCAGGGCCGTAGCCGTAGCCAGGTCTCCACGAGCGAGCAGGTGGCACACAGGCCACGATAGCAATGGCGTCCGCTCAGGCCACTGCCCCCTCTTTCAAGCGCTCCACCAAGTACCAAGTTCAAGGGGCAGACCAAAGATCAAGACATTCCCTCCGCATGTCCACATCCACGGCCTCGCGGGCCAGGTCCCTGGGCCACGATCCTGCGTACGGGGGTCAGCTCTGACGGGGGTCCGTCAATCCCCCGGTTTTGGAGCCACGGGGGGCCGATTCACCCTTTCCGCCCTCCGCGGACCCGGGTTGGGGAGCTACTGAGCGGCACGGCCTGGCTTCGCGACAGGGCCCTGACCTGGGTCAGTGCGTCCCCGACCCGATGCGTGGAACGGTTTCGCGCACGCCCCGCGTGGAGCGTATTATCCATGCGACCGCGTAGCCACGGGATCGCGAATGCAGACCGCGAGGGCGTGGGTATGGACGCGTTGGCCGCTGTGGTGGGTCTGCGCGGCCCCGCGGTGGCGTTCCATGGCGTGGATCGGCATTGCCCCGCGGCTCGAGCAGGGCTGCGGCTCCCGTGAGTCTGTGCTGCCCGGCGACGGAGTCTCGGGCTCGAGGTTCGAGGCTGTCGGACGTCTTCAGTGGTTCTCGGCGGTCTTCGGCCCCGGGGTGCTTTCCAGCAGCTCTCGCCTTGCCGAGAGCATTCCAGGGGTGCCCAGACCGTCCGGCCGGCCGCCGGGCGGCCGAGCTGGAGACCCGAAGGCCAGGGGGCGATGCGAGGGGGGAGATAGGCTCACGGGGGGTTGCATCGGCCCCCAATCTCACCGAGCGCGTTACTACCAAAATGCCTACTCGCAAACGTCCGAAAAACACGTGTCTGCTTCGATGCAATTTATCGTAGATCCCCCGCGGGGGATCCAGGTCATTTGCGAGTAGCTACTTTGCGAGTAATGGAACGCGCTCGTCTACAAACGCTCATGCATCGCCGATACGGGCCCGATAGCCCGCCCCGCCCGAGAACGAGCGTAGTTGCCATGGGGGGTCTATCGCCGGTCTGATGGTGCCGCATCGCTGACTCCGGGTCGATGGTTCCCCCCGCTCTGATCCAGTCCCTCCCGCATCGCTGACCCTCGTGTGAGCGACGTGAGAAACGGGGTCGACTGCGCTGACGTTCGCGCGTGAGGTGCCCTCGTAAGGCTGCAGGCAAGCACCCTCGATTCCAGTCAGGTGTGCCGCGCTGTCGGCCCGCGTGAGCCACCGCGTGCGGTCGCTGATTGTGTCTGGCTTGCTTGTTTTTCGAATGACCAACACCGGCATACACATGTAGGAGCTAGGGATGAGATGGAGGGAGTCGAACCAGCAGGTTGTGGAGGAGTGGAGGGAGTTTGGGAACTGCATGCGAAGAGGAGGATGAGAGGACGGCGGCGCGGAAGGGTGGGGACTCCTCATCTCCTCCTCCACCATAACCTCCCCCCCTCGGCCCGTCCCCTCCCCCTTCCCCATCCCACCTTTCTCCCCCCCAACCCGAAAATTGGATCTTTGGGTTCGGTTGGGGTGGTCTGGGAGGTAATCACTCCCTCCCCCCCCTTCTCGTCGCGGGGCCTTGCCCCCCCCTCCTCTTCCCCCGATCGGCCCAGCCGCAGGTCTTCCGGCGTATGTTCGCCCACAACATGCAGGAGGCCATCGATGGCGCCATCTCCGTGCCGGAGCCCCCCTCCCTCCCCTCCCTGCTGGCTGCCCCATCGGCCACCCTCTGGCGGCCTTCCGGGTCGCGCGGGCAGCAGCGCGGGTGGCGACGAGGACGGCGGCGGCGACGAGGACGACGACGGGAGGGCTGCAGAGAGCCGAGCCCCCCTGGGACACGGACCTCCTAGCGCCCTGGACACATCTGGGCGGCCCGCAGGCTTGCCGAGCCTGGGCCTTCCCGAGGGCCGAGGGCCCGACCCGTCAGCCCTTGGCCACCCACGAGACAGGAAGGAGGAGCAGCGTCGTGCCCGAGGATGGGCGAGAAGAGTTCGAAGATGACCAGGGGGGCGCACAGTCGGCACGCTCAAAGCAGGACAGCCTTGGGGCTCAGGAGGGGCTCCGGTTTTCGGGCCGTTTCTTTGCCTTGATGTCGTGGGCCTCTTTGTGGCCTAGGCCCACCGTGGCCAGAAAAGCCCCGTCGTTGCGTATTACGCGCCCCGTATGGTAGCACGACGATTGTCAGCAGAAGCTTGCGAGGTGCGGCATCGAGCACGAGGATGAGCGAGTGAGTGACACCAGTGCGAGTCTGGACAAGCATACAGTCGGGGCGCTGAGGAAGGAACCCTTTTCGTTTGGGAGGGGCTCTGTTTTCCTCAGTTGTTGTACAGTCTACCTTAGGTCATCCTCTGGTTCTCGATGGGGAATCGAAGTTTAACTTATGGGAAAAAGCAGCCTCGTTCCTTAGGTCAACGCCCCAACTGTAGTTCCTCGGAGCTGCGCGTGGATTTCTTGTACCGGCGCTGGGCCCCCGTGGCGGTGCCAGTGGCCCAGCAAGCTCCGCGCACAGGCTCAGGGGGGATGCACCAACCCCGAATCGCCCATCCATCGCCTCAGCATCGCTCGGACGTGTGCGTTTTTTCCCGGCGAGGACCATCGAGGAGCAGCCTGGATCATCTGGCGAAACAAAACGCACGAAATCGAAACATGCTCGCGGAATGGACGTCCCAGCGATGGCGAGTCGCCGACAGGGGCATGGTGGCCCACCCCGCACAGGGGCGTGCGGCTTCGTCACTGGGGCCCTGTCGCCGATCCATCTGCGATGCATCGCAGAATGCAAATCGAACCGACCACGAGCGATAATAATCACCGGGGGATAATAAAGTTCGGGGGTCTGGCGGGGATAATAATGGATTTTCCCGGCGAAGGGACGTTATGATGATGATGATGATGATGATGATGATGATGATGATGATGATGATGATGATGATGATGATGATGATGTTGTTGTTGTTGTTGTTGTTGTTGTTGTTGTTGTTGTTGGTGTTGCTGTTGTTGATGATGATGATGATGGTGATGATGATGCTGAGGATGATGATGATGATGGTCATGATGATGATGATGATGGTGATGATCCTGGGCGCTCGGCACAAGACTGACTCGAGAGATCTCGAGCTGGTCCCTCCCCCCGCCTCCGATGTTCAGATCTTCTCACAGCGAGGCTTCCCGGAGGTCTGGGCCTGTACCCTGGGACTGGCCTTTCATCCCGAGTCGTTTTGTTGAGGGTCCTGGGGCCCGGTGAGGGTCCCTCGGAGGCCGAAAATGACAAGCCATCCGTGGTGTGTTGTCCACGACGTGAGCATGCCGCCCTCCATCGCCTAGCCCAGAGGTGTTCTTTGGTCTGGGAGAGGGGCAGAACTCGGAAGGCAGGGCAGCCCACAATCCGATTCGATGAGATTCGCTATGCTGGGTGGGGCCGCGATTTCGATTCGATCCGCTTCGCTTCACCGGCGTCGGCCGGGGCACGCAGGAGCCGGGCGCGGCGATCCGCATTCGGCCTCGATTCGGGGACGTTTCCAATGCGATCCGCTATGTTTCCGATCCGATGCAGCTCGGGCCTGGGAGGCGCCGCAGCGGCCTCGGGGCAGTGAGGTGCTCTTGGCCCCGAGGAGGAGGAGCAAGAGGCGCAGAAGGGGAGCGGGCTTTTTGCTGTGGCCATCTGCCCGTCAAGCTCCCCAAGAGGTTGCCGAGCAGGGCTGAAGCATCGCTCGCACGAGGCTCACGATGAAGTTGCAGCCGCAGTTGCACCTCACCCTCGGAGGGCCGGCAGAGGTAATTAGGTGTTCAGGAAGCCGGCAACGGAGACGCCAGTACGAGAAGTTCGGCAATTGTCACACCAAGAGTAGACCTTGAATGGAGAAGTGGTACCATTCGACTCTTCGTACTCAGCGACCTGCTCGACAAGGCGGGCCAGCTCGAGAAATTGCAACGCGGAGTTCTGCGCCAGGTTCGCTTGCATGCCACGCTGAGATTCGGAGCACCGCCACCAAGCAGTACGATACCGAAGAAGAATATGTTTCTTCTGGCGAAATGGAGCCCCAGACGTGCGTCCGCAGATGACATCCACAACCTCTGCGGAAGCAAGCGAAGGCGTGGGCAAGCTGGAAACACCAACCGCACCCGTTGAATAAGCAGGCAAAGCTGCAGACGATGAGGTCGCACTTCGAGCACGCGCAACATCCTCATGCACACCATCTCGCTGGGCAGAAGTAGAAGACGGATCGTGTTTCCGTCTATCACAAGAAAACCGACCGTCACGGTCACGTGCAAAATGTTGAGTTTCAAGTTTGCTTCCCGTGTTCGGCGATGCGGTCTATCATCATGCAGTTTGGAAGCCAACGAGGCTTCCCACCGTGTGAGTTCACCCTGAAAGCTGGGATGTTCCATTGCACGTTTGTCGGAAATGCCGTGCTACTCCGCTGCATCTGCTTCTTCGGCGCAGGCTTGCCCACCGACAACCTCGTACGGGGTTGCTATGTGCCTGTGGCTGGATGCCGGGATCTTCGGTGAGGTGATGCCTCAGCGGCACCGTAACAGGTGCTCACTAACGGATACTTTGGAATTGCCGAAAGTTGCCGCTCTAGGCCCTCTTTCTGGCATTGCAGCGCTGCCCACATGGCCAAAGTACCCGTCAGTGGAGTCCCCGTTAGAGGGGTGCTGAATGCCGCTCTGCGCGGGGGAGCTGGCGGCAGGGGCAGCGCAGGAACCGCCTCCACAGGTGCTGCCGGCGGCGGCAGGACCAGCTTCTTCTCCTTCTTGCGCTTGGGCCGCGCAGGCGGCCGCGGCACACGGGGCCTCATGCGGGAGCCGCGGACCATGGCGGCGACATCACGCGGGAGGGTGCCGACTTCGTCATCTTTTCACATTGTTCATTTCTAATTCTTCGGAAGTCCTTGGATGTTCTGGGGGGCCAAGATCCTTTCATTTCTAATTTTTCTGTCCTGGGCCTCCTCTTCCTGGCCACTTGGGGGCCAGGAACATTTGGAAACGAGCACAATTAGAAATGAGCACGATCAGAAATGAACGACGTGTACGTGCAATTTGCGGAGCTTCTTCAGCACCTGCTTTTGATGCTCTTGCTCTTCCCGTGGCGCTTACCAGAGATGAATGGCTCGAATCGCAGGGGCCGGTGCCAAGGTGACATGGGTGCCTCCAGCTGAGGCTGACGCAGAGCAGCGCCCGTGAGGATGCTTGGCGGCGCTCCCGTCCATATAGAGGGAGGTGCCGTGCCCAGATTCCCTGGCGATAACGGCAGGGGTGGACGGTCCTTGGAAATTGATGTCGGGCTTGGCCACCAAACGGAGCTCAATTACGCATCCAACCGGGACCTGGCAGGTGCGTTTGGCGAAGGAGGCGGCGGCATTCGAATTATCTTCGCGCTGCATACAATGACGGAAAAGCTCAAGCTCCTGACCACGGCCTTCGCCATCTGTGAATGCCGGAGAGAACGCTAGACACACTTAATCGTCGATTCCCGAGAAAATATTGGAAAATATGGGAAGTGGGGGGAAGACAAAAACCCAGAAAATATAGGGAAATATGGTGAATCCTGTTTTTTGTGTGTGTATTTATTTGTGTGTCCCAGGGCCCCTTCGGTCTTGTTTGAATACATCGGCTGTATGTTCTAAGACCATTTGTTAGTGTTCTTAGAACACTAACATTCGTGGTAGGGCTATAGGAATGCCGGGACGGTCGGTCCTTGCTCAAGGAGACGGAGGAAGGGAGAGAGGAGCGAGGCAGGGTCGGAGGAGCGGGCCCCGAGGCCCGAGGTGCTGCCGCTGGCCGCGAGGGGGGGCAACACACAGAGCGCAGGAGCCCAGGCCCCCGACGCAATGCTTCCGTCATGACCCGAGGGGGCCCCGAGAATCACCGAGCGCGTTCCACTGCTCGCAAAGTGCCTACTCGCAAACGCCCGAAAACACGTGTCTGTTGTGTTGCGCTTTATCGTAGATTCCCGGCGGGGGATCCCGGCCATTTGCGAGGAGTTACTTTGCGAGTGGTGGCACGCGCTCGTCTAGAGAAGGAGGCGCCGTGGCGGCGGACCCCCCGCTGTGCCCCGCCGCCAGGAGATCGACGCGGACACCGCCGACTGCTTCACGCACTTCCTCTACGCCGGGCGGCTGCTCGGCGAGGAGGGCGGTGCGTACGGCCTCCCCGCGCCGCGCTGCCGCCGTTGCCGCCTGTCGTTTGCCGCCGTCGGTCGTCGCCGCCGTTGTCGTCGCGGTTGCCGTTCTCTCAGGAGCGCAAGAAGGACGTACACGCGCATGGATCAACGTTTGTTTCGAACGCACGCAGTGTAGGATCGTTCGTTGCACGAGGCTGGTCTCGCGGACGGGGGGGGGGGCGTGTTCATGTACGTCGGGTTGTGTACGTCCTCTGTGGGCTTCCTATCCTCCCTCGTCTTTCAGAGCCAAAGACCAAACCCTTGCATAAACCTACAGTCGAAACCGATGGTAAGGATTGGTAACCTTCCCAAGGGCACCCCCCTTGCATCATTGCCTTTTCGGTCCATCCTTGATTACTTTCGATGGCCGCGCCCCGCTCGAAAAAGTGTCGGCATGGGAGTCCAAGGCCCTTACATCCTTATCGCGCATCCTTACTATCACTTTTTACCGATACTAGTAAGGATGAGCGAATTTCCAAGGGTATCCTTGCATCCTTGCCTCTTCGGACATCTTTGGTCCATCCTCAGTCACTTTCGACGGCCAGCCACGCTTGAAGAGCCTCGACACGGGCGTACACGGGGCTTGCATCCTTATCGCGTTGCTTTATTATCAGTTTTGTCTGTGCTCTCTCGGAGCTTCGCGCGGATTTCTTGGATCGGCGCTGGGGCCCCCCAGCGGCGCCTCTGGCGCCGCCTCTGGCGCTGCCTTTGAGATGTGTTGGTCAGAATGCGCTCCTGGAGATGTCCGGGGAGTAGCGAGGAAAATGTCCCGATACCCCGTCCTTCGCTTTTTTCATTTTTAGGCCTCCCGAGAGGCCCTCGTCGCCACCGCTGGATTCGCCTTGAAGTTCTGGTCAACGCCCCCTGGAGAGATCCGAGGGGTAGGGGTATGGGTACCTTTGCCTTCCCCAGGTATGTCGTTTGTCGTCGTCTTGCGTGTTGTCGCCGTGGTTGTAGTCGTGATGGTAGTCGTCGTCGAGGGTGTCGTCATCGAGGCCTCCCGCCGGACACTCGGTTCGGGGCGTCTCGTACGGGGGTCGAGAGAACGTGTTATGTGGGCGCTCGAGGGGCTGGGGGTGTCAGCAACACCCCCCTTCCCTCCTACTCTTCCCCCTCCTTTTCCTCTCCCCCTCCTTCTGCTTCCTCCTCCTTCCTCCTCCGCCTCATCATCCTCCCTCGTCGTCGTCCTCTTCCCTCTCCTCCCCTCTCCATGTCTCCTCCTTCCTGATGCTGCCTTCCACTGCTCGCTCCTCATTGTCGTACCTCCTCGTCCTGCTGCTTCTTCGTCATCATTCTTCTTGTACGTAACTCCTCGTCGCACCATGTCCGAAAAGGTGCTACCAGTTACAAGGATGGAGGTCATATTCTTCTCAAAATGGGGCTCACGCTTGAGTCCCCGTTCAACATGACCCGAGGTGTAACGTAATCCAACAGTGAGACGGGTGGAGCGCGGCTCGTTTTCAGAACGCGGTTGTCGTTGGACCTTTCCCTGAACTTCTTGATCCTGCCTCTTCGCACCCCTCCTATCTGCAAGGGTGCGGGGGTGGAGCGCGGCTCTTTTTCTCAGAACGCGGTTGTCGTTGGACGTGTTCCTCCTGAATTTCCTGATCCTGCCCCTTCGCACCCCTTCTGTCTGAAAGGGCGCGGCGGTGGAGGGCGGCTCTTTTTTAGCAGAACGTGGCTGTCGTTGGACATGCTCCTGAACTTCCTGATCCTGCCTCCTCGCGCCCCTTCTATCTGAAAGGGCGCGGCGGTGGAGGGCGGCTCTGTTTGCAGAACGTGGCTGTCGTTGGACATGTTCCTCCTGAATTTCCTGATCCTGCCTCTTCGCGCCCCTTCTATCTGAAAGGGCGCGGCGGTGGAGGGCGGCTCTGTTTGCAGAACGTGGCTGTCGTTGGACATGCCCCCTCCTCCTCCTCGTCCTCCCTCCTTCCTCCTCCTCCTCCTCCTCCTCCTCCTCCTCCTGCACCTCCTCCTCCTCCTCCTCCTGCTCCTCCTCCTCCTCCTTCTTCTCCTCCTCCCCCTCCTCCTCTCCTGAACTTCCTGATCCTGCCTCCCCGCGCCCCTTCCAGCTGAGAGGGGTGCGGGGCAGCTCCCTGTTCGGAACGGGGCACCCTCGCCGGCGCGGCAGGCCCACCGGGCGGCAGTCCTGCAGGGAGTTTTTCCTCCCTTCTGCAGCGGGGGGCTCTCCGGGGACTCATCTGGAAAGGTTGTTTTTTTTTTTACGGACGTCAGAACATCTTTGATGCATGCTGGGTTTGCTCGGGTCCTCCTCCTCCTCCTCCTCCTCCTCCTCCTCCTCCTCTTTCTCCTCCTCCTCCTCCTCCTCCTCCTCCTCCTCCTCCTCCTCCTCCCGCGAGCTGCTGCGATCCGCGGTCCCGATCCTTACGCACTCATGGTGCCTGCAAGCTGGCTCACAAGCTTCATACGGGCCAATGCTTGAGGTCTTGGGGAGCTGCTCTCACAGGCGAGTCCTTTACTTGCCTGCTGGGCCGGCACGCTCGCTTGTGAGAAGAGCCTTGGACGCTTCTCTAAACCTTTTCCTCCTCCTCCTCTTCTTCCTCCTCCTCTTCCCCCTCCTCATCCTCCTTCCTATCCTCCCTGTTCTCCTGCGCGTCTGTGGCCCCTCCCGCCTGCGCGCGCCCCCCCCCCCCATGCTGGCAGGCCTCTGCCTCAGACTGCTGCCCTTGGCGAAGAAGTACGAGGCGCAGCCGCGGGCCCCGCCTCCGCCCTCGGGCCCCCCATCGAGGCTCGAGGATCAGCACGGTGCATCTTCGAGGGGGGGCCCTGCTTGTCCTCGAGGTCGCCCGCGGAGGCGCGCAGGTAACCGCGGTGTGCAGTCTGGGCCGGATCGCGGGGCGCGATGCGCGAAGTCGGTCGACCCAGGCTTCGTAGGCCGCTGTCTTCTCTGGCGTCCGACGCGGCTTCGGGGTGGATTCCACGCGGATGCGACGTTCGGCGCGAAGCTATTCGACGGATAGCAGCGCGAGGGTGAGGAGGGAGGTGGGCATGATGATCGGGGGAGACGAGGAGACCAAGGAGGGGGGATCAGGTATGAGCGGGAGCAGGGAGGGGATCAGGTAGGCGAGGAAGCACGCGGGATTATATATATATGTGTATACGGAGAGGAGGGGGCGACATAGCAGGTTGAAGGAGAGCAGGAGGGCTGAGGCGGGGAAGGAGGCGGACGTGGAGGAGGTGTGGGAGGCAGACGATGGTGAGTGCGAGGAGGCATGAGAACAGCCAGGTGAACTCCCTGGTGAGCTTCTGCGCGGCGCGTCTGACGTACTACCTTGCGGAGCCAGGGCTTGGGGCCGTGAGCGTCGCAGACTGTTTGCGGCCGCGTGCCTGGGGGAAGGAACGGGAAGTGGTGTGGGATGGAACGGGAGGGGAGCGAGTGGATGGCACATGGAAGGACTGTGGGGAGGGAGGTGGGTTGGTCCGTTCCTCCCCTGGAGATCGATGCCCGTGCAGCTCGAGTATCGAACGTCGATGACAGCGTCTGGAGCAGGCGGATTGATGGATGGCAGGTCTTGATCAGCATGTCGTTATCGCCATGATGTTACGAAACCGTGTGATGCCAGTTCACAGCAGTTTGAATTGATGGATGTTTGTTATTATTGTGGCATTGGACTCGCTTGGGACCTCCGCAGCTTTCTCCCTAGATGTTACCAGTGAAAACAAAGGTTACACGGATCGAGGATGTCACGGTGTGTTGTAATGGTTCACGTTGTGTGGGCACATGTGTAGGATTGTTTAATAGCCATACGGATTGGGGGTAGTTCCTATGTTGGGCATTACAGTTCGGTTGTCGTGTCATTTGTATGTGTGTTCGAATTCATGCTGCAATTGGATTTGCGTTTGCATGATGGTTTGTGTTTCGATTCCGTGTTCGGCTATATGTGATTGTAATTTGATTTGCAGTTCGATGTGTATATGTTCGCATGTCGGCCATTTCGTTTACATGTCGAATTGCAAGTCGGTGTATATGCTCGATGGCATCAATGGGTCTATATCTATATGGATATCAGTCGCACTTCCCGCAATGTTTCTATGATCATATATACATGCCTTTCGAGTTTTATTTCGATTGTGATGTCAATCCGAGTTTTGAACTGTTTGGGGAACTGCATTTAGACGTGCATCTCGTTTCGCATTACGATTATCATGGCAATTCGCATTCATATGTACATTCGATGTACAGTTCGATATACATGCCGAGTTGCACGTCGACTTACACTTTAAATTTGATTTATATTAGTACATCGATTGCCATCCTGATGTGGATGTAGATACACGTGGATTTGCATGTCGCTCTCCATTAACATCTCGCGGCGTTCGATGTGTGTGTCGATATTTGTATATTTAAGTATATGCCCGCTTGTATTTCGATTGCATTCGGACTCACATTTCGATGTGCATTTTAGCGTGCATTTTTGTTGCAAGTGTTTTCGGATTCCCCTTACCCTTTCCCGCAAAGCACACGTGTACCAAACTGAGGACAATTGCTGGACAGACGCGGCACCTACACGGGACATCCCATAGGACAAACCACGGAACAACCAGCGGGACAACCTCGTGACAACCACGGGGCAATTCATGGAATCATCACGGGATAGCACACAGGATAGCCCATTGGTCAACCGCGAGACAACCATCGGGAATATTTACGTGACGACCAAGCAGCAGCCACGGGACAACCCATACGACAATCACACAATATTCGACCGGACAATTCACGGGACATCTCCCTGGAAAATTTTGAGCCTCCACATTTCAGAATTTTTCGGTTATGTGGCCTTAGGTGTGGCCGAACCATCGTCGTTCTCGCCCGCACGCGCGACATTTTCCCGATGATGCCCGCTGCGTTTTCACTCCCCAACCTCCGACGTAAGAAGATTGAGGGTGGCTCCTTTTCAAAACAGGATCTTGCCTGAACGGCAGGCTCGTGGAGCGAGCGTCTTGGAAGTGGCGCTTACCGTATCGCAAACAAACTGCTTGCAGGCTGTAGCTACTTCTGAGGCGGTAGCTTGGGACGGGAAGGTGTGTTGGGTTGACCATGGCCCTTTGTGGGTTTGCCAGCCATGGCCTTCCTTCACAGACCTGCGACATCGCGATTGCGAAGGCCTGACGGCCAGCGCCGCCGATCCTGAAGGGGGACGGCGGCGGCGACGACGAAAAACATTCAAACATGTTGGGTTGTCTTTGGAGTGCTCTTGGGCCTCTCTCGGTCCTTTTCGGGGCCCTCTGGGGGCTTCTTGGGCGCTCCTTGTGGCCTCCTCGGGGCCTCTTGGGGCGGAAGTCTCGAAATGTCGGTTGGTGTTTCCCCCCAGACCTCCGACATCGTGATTTTGTCACGGTTCTCTGGCGGTCTGGATTTTTTCGAGGGTTTGGTTTCTCATTTTAAGTGGTTTTGTAAAAGGTTCTTGGGCCCAGCAAGAGCCCCCAGGAGCCGGAACAATTTCTCGCCGTGTTTTTTTTCTCCCGCGACGAGCGGAGCTTTGGGTCATCCTCCGTCATCCCTTCCTCCCCCGCCCCCTCCTCCATTGCCGCCACCTTTCGGGGCTCACGCCGTGGGGCCGTCGATGCCCCACCTGTAAAGTCGGGCGGTAGGTCGCAATTGATGGTGTGTGAATCCGGCAAGGTGTTTTGCCCGATTTGGTCAGATTTTTTGCCCAGCACAGTATCGCCGACGCCGTCGACTCCTCCTCCCCGAGGCCAACCTTCGAGGTTCCGCCACAAAAATATGCACAGACACCCTCCAATGGATTGTTCCTCGGCCTGAGGGGAGGATGGCGCTGTATGAATCACTACTGAGAGCCAGCAATTTTATGCACCGCCACACTCCCTGAAGGTACAGGCAAAAATCGTCGGCGGGTGTCTGCGTACATATGTTCGTGTCGTACAGGCACGAGCCTGTCTCGATGAGGCTCGCCGATCAAGTTTCGTCTGACTTCGACCCGCTGGCCAGCCCGCTGGTGGGTCTGCTCTGCAGGAGCGCACGGCGCACTCCAACGACAGTCAAGACGTTCAACGACGGACCACTTTGGGGTCAGGAGGTGCTCGGGGGGTTCGGCCTGATCTTTACGTGCACGGCCGAGGCTCGTCGTGGCCAGACGGAGCAGGCTCCCTGTCGTAGAACGAGGGCTGCATCCCCCGGTTGGGTCGCCGCGGGAGTTGTAGAGAGGATGAGGGAAGCTAGAAGTGGATGCTCAGGTGGGTGAGTATAGTCTTACTTAGTTGATAAGTGGGCTACACGTGCCCGAAGTGGCTCAGGCTGATAAGATACCTTTGTTTGGTGGGTTCCGCCCACTTGGCCAAGACCTGTACTCCATGAAGCCACTCAGGGCACTTGCAACCCCCTTGCAAGCTAGGTTAGGTCAGAAATAATCCACCTTCGCATCAACTTGTACCCGCCTTACCCCCTGTGCAACACCCGCGGCGATGTCATTGTCTCTAGGCCTCCCACATGGGGTCGGAGCAGATGGGATCGGAGGATCGCGCCGCATCGCCGATGTATCGTCGATGTGGCTCAATGTGGAGCCCGATTTTTTCTCCACGCCCACGTCGCTGGTGCATCGACGATGTATCGCCGATTCATCATCAATACATTGGCGATGCATTGGCGATGCGGCGCGATCCTCCGACCCCATCCACTCGGACCCCATCCAGGAGGCCTCTACATCAGATGGAGCTTATGGTGATTGCCGTGGCCGCGTTGGGCCCCAGGAGCGCGGCCTGGCCAGCCGGAGCGCAGCCGCGGGACGAGAGACTTCGCAGGCAGCTTCTCGCCCCCACATCCCTTCGGCTCTGGCTTCAATCCGACTCTGGCCTCCACTCCCACACTGGCTTCGGCTTCTGCTGTCAGCCGCCCCCGACTATCTGCCTACGTCTGCGGCCTCCCACGGCACCGGCCATGTATTGAGCGGCCAGCGCTCCCCGCAGATGCTTCCATCTCGTGCCGGCGACCTGGCGCCCCCTGCTGCACCCGCGTAGGCAACCATTTGTTGAACGGCTGCTGCTGCTGCTGCTGCTGCTGCTGCTGCTGTTGCTGTTGCTGCGAGCTCTCGCCCCCCATCCCCGACTTCCGCCCGAGTAACCGGGGGGGCATTCGGACGCACCCCTATCGAGGATGGGCGCTCCCTGTCATAGATCTTCGAATTTGGCTCCAGAGTTTTTGGTCCGTTCGAACACCCTACATGGCAGGGATCGGGGTCGCCATGCCCTCTGTCAGAATCACCCCCGGGGAGGCAGGACTTGGGGCGCCGTGTTGAACAAAAATACATCGTCGGATGATCTGGGAGCTGAAGGGGGGCAGCGTCACTGCTTCGCCTTCGCCTCGTGGCCGCCCTGGCCCGATACCCCAGACCTCCGTGGGGTCGGCGGCGAAATCCGGACCTTGCCGTCGCCGATCAACTATTCAGGCAACTCGATGGTCGGCGGTGGTACGGCTCGAAAATTGTCGAACACGTGGCGGTATCCAAACCGCGCCACCGCCCTTTATCGATTCAGGAGCATCGCTGGCTGGTGGGGGTAACTTTCGGATGCCGCCACTCGTGGAGGGCACCTGCGCCACGCACAGTCGTCGTGCCTCCAGCTGCCCACGAGCAGCAGGCGCCCCACGCTGCCCGGCGCGTGGCGGTGCGTTCGGATCTCTGGAGCCCGGCGTGATTCTTGAACCTTGGCCTTCAAGGGTGGGGTCCGCATGTGGTTGCCAACTCTTCGTACAGTCGGACCGCTGAAGAAGGAACCCTTCTCGTTGGGCGCGGGCTCAGTGTTCCTTAGTTGTTTTTGCAGCTTGTTTTATGTTTCCCTTGGGCTTTCTATAGAAGTCGATGTTGAACTCCTGGGAAAAAGGGGCCTCGTTCCTCATTTAGGGTTCCTCCCTGACAGCGGCCCGACCTGTCGTCGGGGTCCTCAAAATCAGCTGCAGCTCGCTCGGCCTCTGCTCGATCGGCGAGGGGGAGCGCGCAGGGCGCCCGGGGGGGGAGGGAGCCAGCGGGCGCCGGCCGCAGGAGTCCAACGCGGCCGAGCTGCTGCGGCTGGCGGACATGTACGACGTGCTGCCGCTGAAGCAGCACGTCGTGAAGTTCATCGCCCGCAGCATGGACGCCTCCGCCCGTGGGCCCCGCGGGGGGGCGCGGCGATTCCCAGAAAAGAGAAAGAGCTGCCGATGCCGCTGCCCGGCACTCGTCGCCACGACGGGCCTCGCCTCGACATTCTGGCCAGGGCGCACCCCTGGAGAGGTCCGGGGAGTATCGGTATCGGTACCTTTCTTCAAGGGGGGAAGAACCACCCAGACCGGACAATTGGCGTTTACTAAACGATCCTGGGCGTTTACTAAACAGCCCCGCCGTGTTCGATTCCTTTTCTGTGTGCGTTTACTAAACGGCTTCGCTTGTCGGAGTGGTTATTATCGGGGTGGATGTTCTGCCCTGTATGTTTCGTCCTTCCAGATCTCTGGCCCGCGGAGGAGGAGTGTGAGGAGGGGGAGAAGGAGAAGCCTCGGCGGGAGTTTTTCCGGCAGTGTGTTCTTCAGCAGCGTTTGGTCTTTGGAGGCCCTTGGGCCCGATAGCCCACGTCAAGTTGCGTCCCAGAGGCCTGTCGCCGATCCAGGAGCGATTAATCGCCCATTCCAGGTCGGTGTGTCCCCAACTTAGCCGGTCCCCCCCGCGACACGCTGGTCGTTGAGAGTAGGCATTACTGGGTATCAAAAGCCCAATCTGTTTCAAGCGCCTTCCTGCTTCAGTAATCGATACGTGTTGTTGTGTGAGCACTTCTTAGGACGGACCCGCACCGAATCTGCTTTATCCGCCTTTCTACTTCATGTTTCCACCTACTTCTTCCGAACGGCGTGGTAACGCTCCCCCTCAGACCTGGGGGCCCCGAGGAGTGCGTTCCAGAGAGGGCCTTCGGTGGGTCGAGGGGGTCGTCCTCCTCGCCCCTGGTGGAGGGGTCGAGGACTGCGGAGATGCAGTGCTGTCGTCGTAGATCGGCATGTGACCTTATGGCACATATCGCGCTGCACGGTGTGCAGCAGTTCGGCACGTGGCACCCGTTGCGTGCATGCGATGGTCGTTCCGATCCGCGACAGTACACAATGGCATCATATAGTCACCAGCCAGTAGTACTCCATTTATCACATTTTGGGCCGCTTCATTGCAGCACATGCCCATACCATACTCAATTGCATAGCAAGACGGCGTTGCACTCAATACAGTAGTATGGTACTATGGCATATCATGATGGACGGTATCATGCCGCACCGTGGACTCATGCAACAGTTCCGAGCGTCGCGTATCAAATGATTTGCGCAGCGTTGTATCGCATTGCGTGCCAGTGCACATCACAGCCTAGGATGGCTCACCAGAGCGTAGACTGCCCCGCGTTGCGCACTGTGCCATGAGGCTGCGAAGCGCAGCATGGCATGGCACCGCACGGCAGCGCAAAGCAGAGCACCTGCGGACCCCGGAGCCGGCGCCCGAGGGCCCAGCCAGGAGCGGGGCCCGAAGGCCAGTGGGCTCAGTTCGAGGACACGATACCAGGACCGCGGAACGACGCTCGCGACGGCCAACGCGCAAAGTGCAGTGGACCTAGTTGGGGTCAGGTTCCCGAGCGTGAGACGTCCAACAACACCTGTACGAAGAAGGAGACACGACGTGATAATGAATCTTTCGAAGCTCCGTGCGGATTTCTCGGGTCTGCGCTGGGGCCCCCTGGCGGCGCCGCCCTCGCCGCCCCCGTGCGCTCAGCAAGCCGGGGAGAGGGTCGGCCCAGCGCCGATCCAAGACATCCGCGCGGAGCTGCAAGGGTTTCTGCTTGCGCAGGTTCTCCTTCCACTGTAGCTGCACGATGTTTCGGGCGAAGGCCTGCATACCTCAGTGTGTGTGTGTGTGTGTGTGGTGTGCGCGTGTGCGTGTGCGTGTGCGTGTGCGTGTGTGTGGCTCCCAGCGGCTCCCATCAGGAGCCGAGGCCTGAGGGCCCAGGGGGGGTCACGGGGACCGGGTTCGAGATCCCCGCTTGACCACGGAGGTGAGGGCCCCTCAGGCCGTGTCTCATCAGGGGATTTTCCTTGCAGCGCTCACGGTGAATTCAAGGGTGGCCATTAGAGCACGAAGTGATTCGTTGTTCGCGACTCGCGATTCATCCTCAGCCTCCCTGTCCTCTTCTCCTCCGGGGCGGGGGCGGCGCGAGAGCGCGAAGTGGTTCGCGCTCCGCGCAGCGCAGCCCGTGATGGCCCGTGATCGTTACCAGAAGGGAGGCAGGGGGGCGGGGGAGTGGAGGGAGGCCTTGGGGAGAGGAGAGAGGATGCGCAGTGGCAGGTGGGGTGCGCTCGCGCCACGGGAGGGGACGGGCGGGAGGGAACACGGGGAGGGATGAGGGAGTGCGAGGAGGGATGGGAGAGGCAGGAGAGGTGAGGATGAAGGAGAAGAAGAGGAGATGATGGGAGACGATACGATACGAGCGCACGGGATCCAAGGGTGCAACAGCATTGAAGCCAACACTGGGCAATCAAACTGCTCCAATAGGCAGCAGGAGGAGGATGAGCAGGAGGAGGTATGCAGAGGCATGCGGAGGAGGATAAGGAGCTGGATGGAGTGGAGCAGGAGGGGCAGGAAGACGGATATGGAGAGAGGGAGGCAGAGTGAGAAAGAGAGAGAGAGAGAGAGAAATAGAGAGAATATGAAACAAGAGACAGATATAGACAGAGAGGGAGGGTAACGAGATAGAGTGAGAGAGAGAAACGACAAACAAATGACGAGCAGGGGACATGCAGACATGCTAAGCAAGGGAAGGACGGGAGAGGCAGACGGATGAGTTGCAGCAGGAGCAGGATTAGGATCTCGTCTTGAGTCGAATTCAAGCCTGAGGACACGCTGCGGGCCGTGCAGGACACAGCCGAGTTTGACAAGCTCGACGCCAATTTGATCAAGGAATCTCTATATGGAAGCCATGGTCGCTCGCGCGCATGGGCGCCTGGCCCTGTGGTTGTCCTTCGCGCCATTCTGAGAAATGAAGGGGGATGGGGGCACAGGGGTATTCACAGCAATCATAGCAGCAGGGTTTCCAGGGTCTGGAAGAGGATGGTGATGGTGATTAGGAGTTTCTCATTGCAGCTCCTTGCTGCACGGGGTGCAGCGCGATTAACAGAGTGTGCTGCCTTCCCAGACCTTCGACGTCCTGATTTGTTTCGCAACGTCGACCCCAAGAGGTCTGGACCCCTTGCCCAGGACCGGTTTTTCATCCTGAGTCGTTTTTGACGTTCCCGAGGCCCGGTAAGGGCCCCTGGAGGCCGAAACTAGCAGCACAATTTCCCGCAGTGATTTTTTTGTTGCAGCGCGATGGGGCTCTGGGTTTGGAGCAGCGCGTCCGGGGCCTGCGTTTCCCCGAGGAGGTGGTGAGCACCATGGTCGCGCACTGCGGCGCCAAGCACCCCCGCGACGAGGCGGAACAGGCCATTGGGGGGGGTGCACCCAGAATCGGCTCCGAGGGCATTCTTGGCATCGCTCGGACGTGTGCACTCTTTCCTTCGGCGAGGACCATCGAGGAGCATCCTTGATCACTTGGCGAAAAAACCACGCACGAAACCGAAAAAGGCACGGGGAATGGACGTCCGAGCGATGGCCCAGCAGGGGAGGGATGTCCAAGCGGGTGCGAAGTCAGTCGCGCTTCGCGGTCTGGGTCATTTCCCGGCGGGGCGCGAGTCCCTCGTCCTGTACCGGTGGTGGGGGGACGGCGCGAGAGCGCGACGAGAGTCGCGCTCCTCGGAGCGCGAAGCGCGAAGACAGTTGCTTCAGGATGTCAGTGGAGCACCCCTCTTTGCCTTGGAATGTGCACGGCTTGCCATGGGCTGCAAACAGGAAGTCTATGTTGCCAGAGGTGTCCCCGGCCCACGGTGTCCCCAGCTTCTCGAGCCATCTTGAGGCCCCCCAGGCTCTGTGGGGCTCTTGATTTGTGCTTTGGAGGCCATCTGGGGCTTCCCAGAAATCCTGGGGCCACCTTGGGCCAGGGGCACTTCTGGCAACACTCGACCGAGTCGGTGGGGGTAGTTCCGAGGAGGCCGTGAGAGCGGGGCGACCAGCCTGGAAGAGCGGACCGTGCATCGCCCTTTGTTGGCGCGAACGCCTCGTGTTGCTTGGGATCGGGCTGTTCTGCGACTGGGGATCAGTCGGCGACGCATCAACGATGCATTTGGTAGCAACTCATGCGAGGCTTTGGAGTGCATCAGCGTGCGCTAGCGTCTTAGAATCAGCTAGGCAGAAGGGTTTTAGGATCGATTTACGTCGATCTGGCGTGGATTAGCATCGGTTGAAGTTCTGTGACCGCTGACCAGGGCTCAGTCGGCGACGCCTCAACGATACACGATCACATGCGAACACTATCCCTGCGGGTCTCAGCGACGCTGGGCTATCGGACACTCCTGTTGGGGGTCGCTTGGCTGCAGACATCCAAGCTTTTCAGAAGTGTGACCTTCAGGGGTACGTAGGGTCAACGTGTGGCTGCCTGGACGATAGTCGGCGGCGTCAGGCCAATTACCCCTCCACTGGGTTGCCTCCCACCCCCGCCCCAGAGCACCACCTTTCCAGTCGGAGGCAGAGGTCGGTCCGAGGTCGGCTTCGGGCAAGAGTCAACGGGCACAGGACCCGCGGGCGCGCGCCTTGCGTGTTGCCGTTTTGTTTGGGAGTTATTGTGTCGTGTTGTTGTTTTGTAGCCGACATGTATATGTATATGTATACGTATACGCATGCATGCATTCATTTATATACGTGCATGTATGTATGCATGTATGCATGAATGGATGTGCCTGACTGCCTGTCTGAGTGTCTGTCTGTATAGATGCATGCATGCATGTAAGAATGCGTGCAGGCATGCATGTATGTAGGTAGCCATATGTGAGTGCATGTATGCAGGTGTGCATTCGTGTATGTAAGTATGTATGTATGCATGTGTGTATGTATGTATTGATGTGTGTATGTGTACAGGTGTACGTAGATGCGCATGTCTGCATGCATGGTTGTATGTTTGGATACATGTATGTATGTACATACATATGTATGTATGCATGCATGTATGCATGTATGTATATGGGTATGCGCACCTGTACGCATGTACGTATGTGTGTATGTATAGTTGCCTGTATGTATGTATGTACGTATGTATGTATGTATGTATGCATGTATGCATGTATGCATGTATGCATGTATGCATGTATGTATGTACGTATGTATGTATGTATGTATGTATGTATGTATGTATGTATGTATGCGTGTGTATGCATGTCTGTATGTATGTGCCTGTATGCATGCATGTATGCGTGTGTGCATGTATGCCTGTATGTGTGTGTATGTATGCGTGCAGGCATGCATGCATTGATATACATATGTGTACACCTCTGTATACATTTATATACATACATGTATATATAGGTATACACATATGTGTAGATATGTGCATATGCATATACCTATACCTATACATACATACATACATACATACATGCATACATGCATACATACATACATACATACATACATACATACATACATATGGATATATGTATGTGTATATACATATATCTATATATATATATGTATATATATATATGTACGTGTATACATCTGTGTGTATCGGAGTAGGCCAGGGGTGGGGCGCTGCCTGTACCCCCCCGAGGTTTTTGGGGTTCCCCGAGCTCCCGAGGCGGCCCAGGCCCGCCTCGACACAGGCCACGACAGGCTAAGGGGGTCTCGAGAGGGCCCAGGGCAGTCCCAAGAGGCCCCGAAGACGCCCAAGATGCCCTCAAGATGGCCGACGAGGACGCCAACACGCTCCAGGACGGACTCAAGAGGCTCCCCAAGAGGTCCCCAGGAGCTAACAATTGTTAATTTGCCAATGGTTTTTGACAGATTTTGGCGTCCTGGCTTTTCCCGCTTCCCAGCGCTCCCTCTCGGCCTCGGAGGCCCTTCAGATCGCTCCAAGACGGCCCACGAGACCCCGACGAGGGCCCCAAGACGGCCCAGGAGGCTCCCCAGACAACCCAAGTGTGCCCCAAGCGCGCCCCAAGAGGGGGCCCAGAGGGGGACCGCGAACCGATAGTTCGATGTCTCCGGCCCTAGAGGCCCCTAGTAGGCCCCCGAAGGCTACCAAGAGGCTCCCACGAGGCCCCGTGAGGCGCCTCAGAGACCCCCAGGAAGCCCCAAGAGGCCCCTCGAGGAGCCCCCAGGGAGCGCCCAAGAGCAAGAGGCCGCCTCTGCAGGCCCCCCAACGCACCCCAACAAATCATGTCCACAGAATGCCTCCTCCTCCTCCTCCTCCTCTTCCTACTTGGATGCGGAAATGCGGCTTAACAGTTTTAACGCCGTTTTCGTTTCGCTAGTCTTTTCCTTGTCTTTGATCGCCTTGCCGTGGAGGAAAAAAAACATAATGCCTTACGGGGACATGGTCCCTCATGGGCCCGAGAGTCTCTGCAGGCTCCGAAGTACCATCACGCTGCCGGAGAGCTGTCCGCGCGAAGCTGATTGGGAACATGACTGATCGCCTTCTCGCGGTCTTCCGCGGATCGTTTCGCACGCCTCTGAAACCGTTCATCGGGAGTTCAGGCCCTTTTTGGGGGCGGCGTGGAACAATCGGTTGTTAGTCGTGAGTCGTTTTCTGATGGTCCCGAGGCCTAGCGAGGGCCCCCGACCAGCCCAAAACAGAGAAAGGCTTCCGCTTTGTTTTTATTCAATGCGTTGGAGGGTTGTATTCTGGCACGACGGCTGCAATTGATGCCCTCCTGCTGGGCGAGTTGGGACAACGGCGGCTCTCCCACCCAACCCAAATCCGCTCAACTCGGTTCCCCGTGCCACTCCTGGGGTCCCCCCTGGCCCGCTTTCGCCGTAGCGACTGGAGGCCTCCAGGAGGCCTAGAAAGAACCAGCAAACGCGGGTCAGAGCCGCCGCTGTCTCGACTGGCCCTCGTTCGATTGCGGCAGCCCGCGGCGTCTGCAGTCGACGCCCTCCCGGCCTGCGCCTGTCGCGGGCGGGTGTTTTGTGCCCGCCTCGATCTGCGGCGCGCAGAAAAACGAGGTCGTCTTCACCGACACTGGCGCGCAAGCTGCCCTCATGTCGACAGTAGGCGCCCTCGCTTCCAATGCATCCAGCCGCGCTGGCGGCCCGCGTAAACCGCAGCGTAGGGTCGCCATGCCATCTCGCATAAGATGCGTCGACCAGGTGTTCAAGCTTCCTGATCCAGCCCAGTCCCGCGCAGTCTGGATCAATCTGAAATCATCCTGGCCTTGATCTGGGCTGATCTGGCTCCATGGCCCCATAGTGGGGCCTATCTATATCCAGATCCAGTGCGTCTTGGACGTTCTTGCAAGGGACGCCGCAATGCCGAGGCGCACTGGATACGGACAACAATCGAGGCTCTACGGGGCCAGGTTTTTATCCATCTCCAATGCGCCTCGGGTTTTTGATGAAAGGAGCCCGAAACTCCACGCTGCAGTGGATATGGACACGAGCCTCGCCTGCACAATCCCCCTTAGCCGTTCTCGCGAAGGCCTCCCAGCAGTTGCCTGGGAATGTAGCAGGGCGGCTACAGTCGACGCCCTCCCGCCCCGCGCCCTCTGGCGGCGGGCGCCCTGCCCGCCGCCTGGAGGTGCTCAGGGTTCAAGGTTGAACGCCGCTGGTGGCCCAGATGCGGCCAACATGGAAGGATCTGGCGATCGAAAATCGGACGGGGCTGGGACGAGGATAAACCCGTTCCAGAGCGTTCTGGAAGTATCTCAGAGCGTTCCGGAACGCTCTTGGAAGGCCGCGGCGCTCGCGGCATCCTCCAGAGCCGCCGGATCTCAGAGATTCTCGATGTATCTTCACCCGATGTTATTCTCGTCCTGGCTTCGTCTTCAACAAAAAACGGTCCTTCAAGGTGGAACGATCCGCGCGGTGCCAGAAACCAACGTCAGGGCCGTCACGAGACGAGCCTGCCGTAGGTGCATCGACGACGCCATCCTGCTGGGTGTCCTCCGTGGGCCGGCGCCCTGTCGGTCGCCTGAAGTCTGGGCCTCCCAGGTGGGGTCAGAGCAGATGGTGTCGAAGGGTTGCGCCGCATCGGCGATGCGGCTTGATGTCGAGCCTGATCTCCTCCACGCTGACGTCGCCGATGCATCGGCGATGCATTGGCGATGCGGCTCGATCCTCCGACTCGGATCCCACTCGGGAGGCCTCTCTAATCGTCGCCGTCCTGCTGGGTGCCCTCCGTGGGCCGGGCTACCTGCCCGCCGGCTCCGCGTGTTTGGACGCCCGAAATGGGTACGGAAGAACTGGGTTCGATGCTCAGCAGCAAATGCTGTCGCAAACGAACAGCGGCCGCTGTGGGGCAGGCGGTCTTCTGTCTCACGTGGACGCAGGCCGCGGCGGCGCGGACAGCGAGTCCTGTTCCAAAGGAGCAGCCAGGGCCGGGGGCCGAGAACGAGCCGCCCTCGGAACGCGAATCGGCTCGGGCACGGCCCCCCTCGTCGTCGTCGTCGTCCTCCTCCTCCTCCTCCTCCTCCTCCTCCTCCTCCTCCTCCTCGTCCTCCTCGTCCTCCTCGACCTCCTCCCCCCCTCCCCCCCCTCGTGCTACCCGCATATTCTTTCCGCACCCGCGCCGTGCCGTCGGCGGGCCCGCCGCCGAGGTGCTCGAGTTCCCCGACGGCTCCGACTGGGCCCGGCTGAGCGTGGCGCAGCTGCGGCGCGCCTGCTCCGAGCGGAAGCTGCCCTCCGCGGGGCGCGCCCCCCTTCCCGCCGCCCGCCGCCCGGCACCGCAGGCGTGTGGCAGGGCTAACGTTTGGTCGTCCCCAAACGTGGTGGTGACAACACCTGTCAGAGTCCCGAATCATCAGGGGTAACTCGGGTCAGGGATAACTCGGGTTCGTTTTTCGGGAATCCAAACCCGAGTTACCCCGGACCCGAGTTACCCCGGACCGGGAAGCTGCCCTCCGCGGGGCGCGCCCCCCTGGTCGACTCACAATTGGTATAGACAGATGTATATATGCATACACATTATATATACACGTATGAATATATACATATATATACACATGAGAGTACGAGGAGAGAGAGAGAGAGGGAGAGTGTGAGAGAGAGGGACAGAACATCCTGGCGAAAGGCCCACACACATGCAGTTGTGGGTAAAGCAATTGTTGGTATCGTGAGTCCAGGGTTGGCTCGTGTCGACGCGCCGCGGCCCCGCCGCGAGCGTGCAAGGTCGAGCGCCGCCGGTGGCCCAGAATTGGCCCATGCGGAGAGATCTGGCGACGGGGGAGCCGCCGGTCGTTCCAGGTGGAGCGATCCACGCGGTGTCAGAAGCCAGCGCGCAGGTGGTCACGACACGAACCCGCAGGCGTGTGGCAGGGGTAACGTTTGGTCGCAAGGGCTCCCACGAGGGCGCGGAGTTATTCGCGCTTCGCGCTTCGCGGTCCTCGTTCCTTCTCCCCCTCCTCCTCGTCCTCCTTTTCTCCCTTTTGGGGGGCGGCGCGAGGGCGCGAAGTTATTCGCGCTTCGCGGAGCGCGAAGCGCGAAGTTGGGAGCCCTAGGGTAGTCCCCAAACGTGGTGGTGACAACACCTGGCGGTGAGTCTCGGGCGATTTGGTGCCACCACCCGGTTTGTCACCACCCACCAAACCACCCCAACCCAACCCGAAGGCTCAGATTTGCCCTCGATTTCCCGTTGGGGGGGGGGGGGTCGGGGAACCTCGAGAAAACACGCGTGGAACCCTTACCCCCCCCCAACCCGAAATTCGGGTCTTCGGGTTGGGTTGGGGTGGTCTGGTAGGTAGTCAGTGAGTCTCGGGCGATTTGGTGCCACCACCCGGTTTGGGGACTCGTGCGGTTCTCCGAGGGTGTCCCGAACATTGGTGGGTCCAGGAGTCACAGAACCCGGTGGTGACCCGTGTCCCCAAAAACTCAGCGGTGACCTTTTTTGTGGGATTCCAGGGCGCCACCTGGTATCTCACCACCCGGTTTGGGGGTTCCCAAGACGTTCGCAATGGCTCAGGAGCGAAAGAAGGGCTTGCACGTACACGAGTCCACGTCTCACCGAGCGCGTTCCACTGCTCGCAAAGTGCCTACTCGCAAACGTCCGAAAACAAACATATGTCTGTTTCGATATAATGTATCGTAGATCCTCCGCGCGGGATCCATGCCATTTACGAGAAGTTACTTTGCGAGTAGTGGAACGCGCTCGTCCAACGTACATGAATCCACGCTTGTTTTGAAAGGAAGCAGTGCGCGAACTATCACAGGCTGACATCCCGGACTGGGGGGCCGTGTATTCATGCAGGTGGTTGGGCGTGTACGCCTTCTGTGGGTTCCCTCGTGAAGGAGACGGGTCCTGAGGAGGGAAACGTCGGGGGGGAGCTCCACGACAGGTCCAGGGGGTTGAGACAAAAGTAGTTGGCACTCGTGGGGCTCCCTCGTCGCCACGGCTGGACGCAGCTCTGAAAATTGGTGCGTTTGGACCCTGGCAGGGGTCCTGGACTTACTCTGCGCTGCCGTCATCTCAACTAGCCCTTCTTCGAATATGTGTCAGGGGCAACATTAGGTCGTCCGGGCACTGATCCGTACAACCGAAGCGGGTATGGAAAGACCAGGAACGAAGATTGACAGCACCTCCAGGGACCGCTGTCGCGGCCGCCGCGGTCGTGGTCCGTCTGAGGCCTGATGCCGCCAGCCGAACGGCAGCCGCTGCCGACTGTGAACAACTCGTGTTGTTGGGCGTCGTGTCCATTCTTTCCGCACCCATCTCGGCGTCCAAATGTGAACGTGTGTCAGGGGCAATGTTAGTGGGGGGCTCCAGGGTAGGCTCAGAGGCTTGAAGTGTTAGATGTTCGGACGTTCTGTTGGGTTCGGTGTTCCGACCTCGCGGTGCCTTTTGGCAGCTGCGCCTCGCCGAGAGTGTTTTGGTGGTGCTTGGATCGTCCCTCACGGCCGCGGGAGAGACGAGTTATAACAACCAGGGAGCAACCCGTTAGGGGGGCAATAGGTTCAGGGGGGGATGCATTGACCTCGAATCGCCCATTCATCGCAGATAGTGGCCAGATAGCCCCCCCCGCCCAGGAGGGTGCTGTTATGATATCCATAACGTATCACCGATCTATCGACGATGTGCTCCTCCTTTACCAGTCCCCCTCTATCGTTCCCCTCATGTGAGCGTGTGTGTATACATGTACGTGTATGTATGTGTGTGTGTGCGTGTGTGTTCGCGTGTGTGTTCGCGTGTGTGTGTGTGTGTTTGTGTGCGTGCGTGCGTGCGTGCGTGCGTGCGTGCGTGTGTGTGTGTGTGAGTGTGTGTGAGTGTGTGTGTGTGTGTGTGCGTGTGTGCGTGCGTGTGTTTATGCGGCGTTGCGCGCTCGCCGCATACGTCGGAGGAGGGCACCAGTGTGTTTACGTGGGTCCTCCCTAGAATCAATCTGCCTGCCCCCTCTCGCTCTCTTCCATCTCGCCCTCGCTACCTCCTCTCCCGCTTCTCACTCCTCCGCTCCTCGCTCTCCCTTCACCCCCCTCATCCTCCTGGTCCTTTTCCTCCTGCCCCGTCATGGCACCTCCCACCGTCTCGCGAAGCTAGTCAGGACCCCAGTGCTTGGTTTGATGGCTAGCCTTGGCGGCTAGCCTTAACTCGGCGTCACCCCAACATACTTATACTATATGTGCGTCGCCCCCCCGGGAGCGATGCGCGCACCGAGAAATCTTATAGTGCATGCGTTGGAGGGTGAAAGAGGGGGTCTGCAACAGGGGGTCTTCAATGGGGGCTGAATGGCCCATGTGTGCTCAATGTATCGTTCATGTATGTGAACGGGTACGATTGGCATCCAATGTTGGCGGTCATTGAGGGCCAGTCGTTCGTGCCCGCGCGTTGCCCGCGCAGGCACGCGCGCCGTCCATCCATTATCGTTCATGCGTGCGGGGGTTCTTGCATATTGCGCGTGGGGCAGCGAAGTGGAGTGCAAGTGTGTCTTGATTGTGCGATTGATGATCGTGTATGTTCCCAAACGATGACTTCTCGTCCCCCAAGACAGATTTGGAATGGGGCCCACTTTTCTCCCAAAATGTGAATTCACATTTTCCTTTTTCCCAAAATGTGAATTCACATTTTCCTTTTTCCCAAAATGTGAATTCACATTCTGGCCCCTTGCATAAAGAATCCTATACAACAATCCAAAATGTGAATTCACATTTTCCTTTTTCCAAAATGCGAATTCACATCTACTTTTTTCCCAAAATGTGAATTCACATTTTGCTTTTCCCCGCAATGTGAATTCAAATTTTGCCCTGGCCTTCAAGATCCCCAACACTGAAGCGTTTTGTTCCGCATGTCAGATTGGCTGGGCAGATTTCGACACTCACCTGACCGCTTTCGTTTGTTCCAGCCTTTTCTTTTTGCGCCCTCAGCGCACGTTGCCTTCGTCGCCTTTCCCGAGCCCCCCGCCCCCTTGCTTCCTTTCCTTTCAAGTCTCGCGCATGGGTGCAGACGGGGGGCTTCCACTAGTTCCCCCGCCGAACGCAGCAATCGAGGATGCATCGCCCATTCATGGCCCATAAAGACATCATTGCCGGGACCCTGCGGCCGACCCCCACTTTCACCGGGCGTTTTCTGGCCACATCGCTCGGGAAACGATCTACTACAATATGGGTATACTATATGTTGGGGTCGGACGCGCGCCTCCAAGGCGGACATTTAGTATTAGTATGTCTCTGTGCGTCCCGTCGGCCAGCGTGTATGCGCATCTGTCTCTGTTGGCCTGGAGCCTCGTTCTCGGAGCCCCTCGTCGTTACCTGGAGCCCCTGGAGCCTCCTCCCTCCACTGCCCGCCCTCGCCCATCCCCCCGCTCCCCTCGCGGCCTCCTCCCCCCCCCCTTCGGTACCCATCTGCCTTTTGGGGTAATCCATTGGGTGGTCTTCCTGCCCCCCCTCCCCGCGTCGCCCTCTCGCCTTTGCCGCCGCTGCCGTCGCCGAGGCCGCCTTCGTCGCCGCCATTTGCAGCCGTCGCCTTCGTCGTGGTCGTCGCTGTCTGTCTCCTCGTCTTCCTCGCCCTCGTCGTCGTCCTTGTCGTTTTCGTATTCGTCGTCGTCGTCTGCCTCGTCGTCTTCCTCGTCACCTTCGTCGTTTTTGGCGTCGTCGTCGTCGTCGCCAGCACCCTCATTGTCTTCTCTATCGGTTTCTTCTGCCGCTTCGTCGTCGTCGTCGTCCGTTTCCCTCGCCGTTTGCTTCGTCGTCGTCTTCCTCGTCCGCCCCGCAGGCTCCGGGCCGCGCTGCTGTCGCGGCTGAGCGCGGGCGCCGTCGCGCCGGCCGCCCCGTGAAAAGCCGTGGTCGCCCCGCGCCGCCGCCGCGGCACGCACCGCCATAGGGCTTCGCGCGCGCCGCGGCTCGCGGCGGAGCGCGGGCACCGGGGGGGGAGGGCCGGCGAGGCGCGCTCGCGCCACATCTCACCGCCCACCAAACCACCCCAACCCAACCCGAAGGCCGAAGGCCCCAATTTTGCCCTCCATTTCCAGTTGGGGGGGGTCGGGGAGCGTTGAGAGAACACACATGAAGCTCGTACCCCCCCCAGCCCGAAATTCGGGTCTTCGGGTTGGGTTGGGGTGGTTTGGTAGGTAGTCAACATCGGGCGTCCTGCTTGGGGACGTCGTGGGGTCTGGAGGCGGCCCGGCCCTGGTCCGACCAGCAGGGAGACCGGGCAGGTTCGAGATTTTGGAATCGGGGGCGTTCGTGTTGCCGGCCTCTGCCTTCGGGGGCCGTTGTCGGCTCTGGGGCCGTGGGAACCGGAGGCGGGGCGATGGATTCCGAGAGGGGTCCAGGGACCGAATCGGAGCGCATGAGGCCTCTTCTCCGCCCCCCGGACTGTCTTGCTGGGGTCCCAACCAGTTCGGACCCCTGGCCATGGGTCGGTTTCGATTTCGCCACCGGATCGGTCGATTTCGTCGTCTTTGCTTTCGCCCAGGGAACCCCGGCCATAGGATTAGAGCGGGGCAAATGTTCGAGGACTGAGGTTCGATGTTTGTTTTTTCCTGGGAGGGGCCTCGCCGCCACGGCTGGATTTCCCCGCGAGATCCTGGACCAAAGCTGAGAGCACCCGCTGTGGGGCCCGGTGACTTCCTGGTCGGAGGGCGCCGTCGGCGCCTCACGCCGATCTCGGCTGGACGCAGCCTGGGCCCCCCCGCCGGGACGGTCCGCGCGTATGCCCCTCCAGCCGAGCGAGGGTGGGGGGGCTGAAGCTGTGGACCACAGCTTCAGCCCCCCCACCCTGTTGCATGATTGGCGCCCCCTGGCCCCAGAGGTGGGACGGGGCAGACGGGAAGGGATGGGGGGGCTGGGGGCAAGGCAGGGCCTGAGGTTCGAACATCGGGGATCCGAGTGTCAACGTTTGTGTTTTGCCATCCTGAGCGGGCATCCAGGATGCTTCTCTCCTTGCCACGTCTGCATTCCCCCTCGAAGTTCTGGCCAAGGTTCACCCCCAGGACAGGTTTGAAAGGCAAAAAGGATGCTGAGGAGAGGGACGGAGGAAAGAGCATATGGAAGAGGGACCACGAGAGGAAGACGGGGAGATGAAGGGAATGGGGGATGAGAAGGGAAGGAGCAGGGAACGGGAGGGGAGGGGAGGGGAGGAAAAAGGGAGGGGAAGAGTGATGGGGGAAGAAATACGGTCAGGGGCAGGTAGGGAAGCAAGAGAGGGGATGAGGACGGGGGTGGAGGGGGGAGGGGTGGGTCTTTTTCTCTCCTCGCTCTGCCCCTCACGAGTCCTCTTCCTTGCTCCTGGGTCTCCAAATCCTCCTGCTGCTCTCTCCCTCGTTCCTCCTCGTTCCCCCCCTCTTCTTCCTTCTTATCTCTCTTCTTCCTCTGCTCTGGTCGCCTCTGCCCTCCCTCCTCATTCTCAGCTCCTATCTCCCTTCTTCTCCTCTTCCCTCCGTCCCCCGTCCTCCCCCGTCCCACCTCCTCCAGCCGCCTCCTCCCTCTGCTTCCCAATTCCCTGCTCCCCCCTCCCCCACCCCTCTATATATATATATATATATATGTAAAATCCCCTCCCTCCTCCTCTGCCTCGCCCCATGGACCCTCGACCCTCCTGCCGCTCTCCTCCCTCGCCCACGCTCCCCGCGCCCCTCTGCGCCGCCCCGGACCGGCGCCCAGCCCGCGCGGCCGAAAAGGCCGCGGGGGACCCCCCGCCACACCGCAGCACCGTGTAGCGGCGGGTGGCCCAGCACTGGGCCGCCGCGCTGCGCCGCGCCAGCGCCGCCCGCGCGCTGCGAGCCTCCCCTCTCGGGGCGCGCGCGGAGGGTCCAAAAGCAGAGGGGGACCGCGGCGCTCCGCGTCCTCCGCCGGCTCGCTGCCTTCCTGTGCCCTCCTGCTCCTCTTCTCCCCCCCCAACTCCTGCCCTTTTCCTCCTAAGCCTTGGGTCACGGCAGGCCGCGCAACACACGACACTGCGAAATCGACGACCACCGAGCGGGCGCCCGCTAGGGTCTGACAACGGTGCTCCATCCCACGTCCTGCTCCGCCTCGGCTCGTCCCTCTGGTGCTTCCCCACCTCCCCCGATGTTCGGTCCTCCCTGGGCCACCCCTTCCACCCATCATGTGCGGAGCAGGAGGAGGGGTAGGAGGATGACGAAGTGAGAGGAGGAACAGCGACAGGCGTGAAACGAGGGAAACGAGGGGGAGGGAGGGAACACTGGGAAACGGGAGGGGATGACGGAGGTGGTTGAGGCGGTTGTGTCGATGATGATGTCGATGTTGATGCCGATGATGACATTGTAGACGACGATGGTGACGATGACGATGATGACGATGATGACGATGATGATGATGATGATGATGATGATGATGATGATGATGATGATGATGATGATGCTGATGCTGATGCTGATGCTGATGATGATGATGATGATGTTGATGATGATGATGATGATGATGCTGATGATGATGATGATGATGATGATGCTGATAATGAGGCTGCTGCTGCTGCTGATTATTATGAAGATTTCGCTGGAAATGCTGATGATGATGTTGATTTTGATGATGATAATGAAGATGTGGTTGATGACGGTGGTCGTGATGATGATGATGATGATGATGATGATGATGATGATGATGATGATGATGATGATGATGGGGATGGTGATGATTGGTTATGATGATGATGCTGACGATGGTCATGTTGATGACGATGTGGGCGATGCTGATATATGTTTATGATGATGGTGGTGATGATGCTGAAGCTGATTCTGATCAGGATGATGCTGATGATGATCAGGCTTGCGATTGTTGTTCACCGAGCTGCGCGCACGCATGGTTTGATTAGCTCTACCTTCCCCTCGCAACGCTACGGTTTTGCCTGGGTGGAGCGACAGCTCTTCCAGGTCCTCCTTGCCTGCCTTCAGCAGGACTGGGGTGCAAGGCTTGGTTAATTTCTGGATCATACCTCTCATGCTGATGTTGCCGCAAGCTAGGCAGGCCCACCTTTTCACATGCTCGAACAACTTTATGGGGTGGCTGGGGTCTACGACTTGGCTGCATATACGCAGCGAGCCGTCTCTGGGGAGGTTGCCTGCAAGTGACACTGGGACGCACGGGGACTGCATCCAAGCTTAGAGCTGGTCTCTGTCCCATGCGGCAGGCTTTTGTTTGCAAGCTGAACAAAACATTTCTTTGGGGCTGCGTGACATTTATCCCGCAGCGTGTGGGGACTCACTGCGCAACTGGTAGAAACGTCTAGCTCCTGAGCTGGCTTGAACTCGCTTGGCTCTGGGCGGTGCTGGTTGCGCTCTCCCGCATTGGGAGGCACAGGCGACACCTGATCTCGCCCGCTTCACGGTCGAGCCTCAGGATTGGCTTGCATATACCCTCACCGAGGTGGCATCGGGCTGCTTCAGATCCTGCGAGGCGGTCGGCAGCATTATTAGCTATTAGCACCGGCCCAAAATCCAGGCACGCCCGTCTGCTTTGCTTTTTGTTTCGTGATGTGGCTCACGATATTGAAATCTCGATGCAGTCGAAGCGCGGGCTGGCCACAGTCCCTAGCACTCGCCACGAGGTTCTATTGCTCTGGGGGGCCGCTGGAGGCCTAGCTTCAACCTCTTCCATCCTCCGGCAACGCACGCACTGTCAGTGATCAAATTCACAGGCCCTTGCAGCCCACATTTCAGCACGGTCTATCGTTTGCTTGCTCCCCCCCAGCGGCGCGCTGCTATTCTCGTCTCGGGAGATGCGTGGCCTTTTCTTTCATTCGAGAGCCAGGCCAATGCGCATCTCCGAAGACTCGGGTTTCCGCTATGCCCCCCCCCCGAGCCGTCTCCCGCTACCCGCGTGGGCCCCGTCTCTGGGGCCCCCTGAGGCCCGCCCCAAGTAGAAACAGAGACATGGCGGGCATCTGGCGGGTCGGGGGCGCAAGCGCAGGGGTCTGGGATAAGAGCTCGAAGCCAGAAACGAATTGGTCGATTAGCGGCGAGGTCGTTTAAAAACTCTGTTATATGCCAGGATGGGATTCCTCAGATCTCCTTCTGGGCCACCGGCCTGCGCGGCCTGTGGTGATCGGAGCTCCTCGGGTGGCGCGGCCCCTGCGCCTCTCAGCTTTGTTGAGCTGGCTCCTAAAACTACAAAGGTCCTCCCCGCATTTCAGGCCGCCCCCGTGGTATTGTTTCGGCGTTTCCGACCATTGCTTAAGCTCGATGCTGTTTCGAACTGATGCTAGAAGGTTCGACTGATCGAATTCGCTCATCGCTGCTGCTACTGTCTCGAAGCTGCCGATGTCGAACTGCCAATCGTAGTCGCTGCGGTCGGTCCAGTGCAGGTGCTCGAACGGGTGCCGCCAGAAGCCTAGCATCGTCATAATGATGGCTGAGATATGTCCTCGGGCTCTCCACCACCTCCTGGCGGCCCTGACGTCTGTAAGGCGGGTTCAGGCCGTTGTCCAGGCACTGGCGATCTTCGGGCACGTCGGGGGTTGGCAGGGGGAAACGTAAACCATTCGCACAGCAACTCCATCGCCGACGCAACGTTTGGGCCCGTGGCGCCGAGCTCCAGGGATAAGAGGGCGAGGCAGCGTCCCGTCTTCTTCGCGTTGGAGGATCTGTCCTGCAAGCAGGCGGAGGCGCGTGGCCTGGCTGGGGCCGGCGCCGAAAAACTCGGCCTCGTGCGGGCTTTGCGGGGCGGCGCCTGCATTGGAAAGGTTGACGCGAAGGTGCTTGCGAATCATCTTATAGTTGGCTATCGTTCTAGAACGGTCGATGGCCGCACGATGTCCGGCCGCGCCTTTCGGCCGTCGACGGCTGACCCGGGGCCCGCGATCGACCCCGGGGCGAGGTGCTGAGGCTGTTTTATTTCGATCTATGTCGCGTTGTCGAACTCGTTATCAGATGGCGTCCGATCGCTTAGCTGGGCTGCTTGCGACCCCAGATG